ACCCTACCTGCACCTCACCACTGACTTGTACCGCTTTGCAGGCTTGTAACTCGGCTTGTAGTCAATATGTGAGCCTGCAGTTTGGCTCATTCGAAAAAACGAGACTTCCTACACACGATGATATGCAAAAGAGATGGGTTTAAGAAACAGCGAAGATTTGGCGGATGGGGTGGAAAAAAGCGGCCTCAGTGGTGGTTGGAGTGAAGGCTCTTATCAACCCCAAAACAGTTCTAGAGCTTCAAAATGGATCTATTACAAGAACATTGACAGTTTTAAGCTTTCAGGATTGAAATGGTAGCGAAAGAAGCTCTATTCAACTTTAGCTGGATATCCTCACCCTACCACTGAGGCCGCTTTTTTCCACCCCATCCGCCATATCTCCGCTGTTTCTTAAACCCATCTCTTTTGCATATCGTTGTGTAGAGAAAGTCTCGTTCTTTCGAATGAGCCAAACTGCAGGCTCACACATTGACTACAAGCCGAGTTACAAGCCTGCAAAGCGGTACAAGTCAGTGGTGATGTGCAGGTAGGGTCATGTGCAAGCACTGCCAAGAGCCATTTTCAGCAAAGAAACTCATCAGCACACGTCAGATTCATGGAGAATGGTAAAGAGCATCTACTTTATCCGAACAGCGTTGTTGGAATGCTGTGAATAGGTTTCCATGTGAAGGAATTTGGTTTAAAAAGGAGAATTATAAGTTATTTTTGAAAAAAAAAGCAAAATAAAACTCAAGCTTGTGTTTTTTTGGGAAGCAACCATAACCAGTGTGTAGTTCTTGACGAGCTCTTTATAGTAGTATGCTTACTCGTTTGGATTACTTGTGTTTCCGCTTCAGAATGGGACTCAAAAGAAAATTTATGCGTTCGGTGAATTACTGTCCGCAACATTGTGACGCGGCCATTTTCTGACTTTTCTTAGAAAAAGTTTTTTAGAATTTTTAGAATACATGTTTTTCGAAAAACGCAAAGTGTGGATTGTAGATCTTGAAGAGCTCTATCAGCTCATGCAATTATCACATTTTTTTTATCCTTGTTTTCCTTCTGAAAAAGAGCGATGAAAAAGGGAGGGAGGCTTGTCCGCAACTTTTTGGCGGTCACTGTATATACAGGGTGTCCCAAAAAGATGTGCACACTGTTTGATTGTTAATAACTTTCTTGCTTTCATGTCTTTTGCCGAGCTTGAGGTACCATTCAGTAGAGCGAGGATAAATATAGATTTACAGTATGGAGGGACTTACCAGCCGCTTTTCATTACTGTAGAATTACGGTAGGAATTTCGAAGAGGATTTTCAGCAATGGAAAGCTGTATTTTGCCTCGGAAAAAAAGCCAAATAAGCCAGAAACTCTTGAACTGGGTTAATCATAGTCGCTTATTCTAGATATGAAAACTGCACGTCAGTACAATGTTTCTTTCATGAGTTGCTTCAGATTTAGGGTAACAACTGATTTTCCAGTGTTCAGCAGAAATGTGAATACGGCATCAAGAAAGCTCGAAAAACTGATGGAAAGTTATGTAGCGAAATCAGCACGCCTGAAAACCTTGCTACACAATTTTTTAGATTTTTTTGAAATTATATTAAAAGACTTATCCCACAGTGATGCTGTATGCTGAAAGTTCATACCGTGATCCTACAGTAGCAAAAAGAGATTGGAGTTTCGCTTAATACTGTAAATCTAAGTTTATCCTCGCTCTACAAAATGATACTTCAAGCTCGGCAAAAGACATGAAAGCAAGAGGGTTATTAACGATCAAACAGTGTGCACATCTTTCTGGGACACTCTGCATATACAGGGTGTCCCAAAAAAATGTATCGAACGTTTGATCGTTAATATCTCTCTTCTAAAGAAGTCTTTTCTCTTGCTTCAGGTACCAATCTGTAGAGCCGGCTTCAACTTAGATTTGCATTATAGAACAAATCACTCATTTCTCTTCATTACTGTAGGATTACGGTAGAAACTTCAAAGAGGGTTTTAAGCAATGAAAGGCCATATTTTGCCTTAGAAAGGAGATAAAACAGCCTGAAAGCTTTTACACTAAGCTAATTAGAGTTGCTGATTATAAGTGTAAAGTTCCCAACTTATTATGATGTTTCATTGAAGAGTTATGCCAGGTAAGAGGAGCGGCCATTTTTTCAATGTTCCTAAAAAGTGCGATTACACCGTTTTGAAAGCTTGTAATCTTGTGAATAGTTGAGTATTGAACTCAGCGTCCATAAAAACTCCAATACACAAGTTTTCACATTTTTTTGAAAAATTTTGAAACTGCAGCTTTTTCCACATTGACACCATACGTTTCAAGTTTCTACCGTAATCCTACAGTAATGAAGAGAGGTGGATGATTCATTAAAAGGGTTATAAAAATGTGCAAGTGACTTGTTTATCTTTGTAAATAATTAAAATGATTTTTAACAATTTTTAAAAAATCAAATTAGCTTTGTAAAAAAAATTTTTTCGGGGGCGTGGCTGACGCCACGCCCCCTTTTTCCAGATTTTAGGGGTCGGGGACCCGCAAAAGTTTTGAGAAACTCCCCAAAAATTTTTTCGGAGTGCGTGGCTAACGCCACGCACCTTCTTTAAAAAAATTTTTGTCGCGCCCCCCCCCCCCCGAGCCGAAATCCTGGGTACGCCACTGATATATATATATAACCAGTGCGTCACCTCTCTTCGCAGAGGCTCGCACTGGCCCTACTTTCTGTATGCCTAACTCATTCCCGCATAATAATGACATTGAAACTCACCGCGCCATGCAGGCTATCACGAGTGATTTGTGAACGACTACTAAATCCTATAACTTTTTTGTGTGAGATCGGTATTTTCGCGTGGGTTAAACCTTTCCGAGAAGAATAAATGCGAATTCGAATCGGCTTTTGGACTTTTTATGGCCTAATAGTCGCCAGAATGACAATAATCACCGTGAGCTGCATCTCTGTGCAAAAATCGTCTCAAACAATCAGGCAAAATCTTGGCAGATTGAACATTTATGCAACTTATTTTTTTGGCGCCATTTTCGTAAAGTAATCAACTTTAGTTCAATTTTTTGGGCTAATGTCCGTGGCTTGCAGATTAGCTTGCCAAACATATCCACGACATCGCAAGAATTGTTGGTACGGCCCAATGCTGGTCAGAAACCAAATGGATCCATTTAACGCACAATTTTTGGGGATTCACTCAGCGGATCCGCCCGTGCTTTTGCATAACGGACTTCCATGCTGCTACCATGCGCCATGCAAAATTTGGGCTCAGAACGTTGGCTGGAATACGCTCCTCGAATTTCGTAACGGACAGACAGACACACACACACAAGAACATATAACATCCTTAGCCGGTTATTATAAGTTGTGATCATCTTTAGCAGCGCTGTAGTATATCCACAGTACAATTTTACAGCGTTTCACTGAGTTTTCAGCGAGATAAATTGGCACTGAAATTGAGAGGTGATCTCCTGGGAATCCCCTGGGGATCCCCAGGAGATCACACAAAGTAGTGAAAATCTAATCAATCACGCCAGTAAATTGGCATCCATTATGCGCAGGTAAAAGTGTATGAGAACCTTCATAAGCAAGATAGAAGAGGAGGAAGAAAGAGATGTGGAGTAGTCAGATATGACGCATCCCCACTCAGATCCGCTCCCTTCCCAGCGGGGATGTACGTGCATAGGGCCTTAGAGCGTAAACCGAGAAAAAAAATGAAATAAGCCGAACATTCCGGGAAATGTCTTAGAGGTTATCCTAGCTGCTGATTACGAAAATCACATTCGCTCAGCAAAGCTTCATATTTTAGGGTTGTGGTGAGTAAAATTTAGAACGACATGATTTCTCCAAAATTCACCAAAAATTCAGATTCAAAATTCAAAATTCACCGCTTTCATCGCTTTCAAAAAGAAGTCTGCGGCTACCCTTTGGTGCTCCATAATCTACGAAAAAGTACTATACGTAATATCAAGGGCATACTGCCCATCAAAAGATTTGCCTTGACGAGCTGAACACAATGCTGCTTTCGGATTTAGAATATATTTATTCCGAGGGAAGTTATGGCGTTGCGTAGTTTGCGTGATTCCCGTGAGTTCGCGAATCCTGGAATGTCGCGAACTTCCCGGAATATCGCAGACTTTTGCGGAAGTCCCGGAATTCCGCGAAGTTCACGGAAATCTTGCACATTCTGTAAGTGGCAGTACAGCTGATTTTAGAGCAAATCCGATTAGAGTGTCTATCATACCCTTACAGTATACCTACTATGTGTCATAAGCGACAAATCAATGGCAATAAAAAAATCAGCACATTGAACAATCAACCAAACAAAAAATCCGCAAAGTTGAACGAAAACTTACCTACCGTATACTTGTCGTACCCAGATAGATTGTGGCGCTCCTACACACTAGATGATGTGTCTAGCTAAGCTGAATCAAGAGGTGTCCTCAGATTCAGAATTTGTCCGTTCTGAAGCGAAGCGAGATATGGCGATGCGACGAAGATTCCGACGAACTCTAGTTTTTCCGACGAACTCGCACTCCGCTGCTCTTCGAAACTCTAGTGGAGTACGGCGCACTCCGACGCACTGCAGCACCTCCGGCGATTTGACGAATTATGAGCAATATTGTATTAGTTGTTACCACTAGATTCCTCAACCTTATTGAAATCCCTTACAAACTGGACAAAGACCTACTATATAACCTGCACCCTTTGTGCAGTAGGTCTAGAATCTGCCGCGAACGCTGCTCAAGCAAGCCGGAAAAATCGACTTGAGCAGTTGTTAACTTCTTACAAATGTTTGGCTTTTAATTTCGTGATATATACGTTGTTAGATTAAAAAGAGATGTGCATTAAAGAGATTTGAGATAAAAATTGTCTGTAGCGAGCATGAGTTTTCGGAATCTGAGTCTGCAAAAACTTATTGAACTTACGCTAATGCTCACTATATACCTATGAATGATGTTTTTGAATTTTTAGTTTCAACTCCTTTTGATGATACTAAACAAAGTGCATAGAGCCTAATTGGCTTACTCGTTCACAGACTTGTCGTAAATCAACTCGATCCGTATCCAGTCCCAAGTTGAACTTCTTTTTGATCTGACGTCTTCAACCAAACCATAAGATGCGTTTCCAGGATCTAGTGACTAAACACCTTTTCGTTGCTCAGAACCTGATGCGAACCTACGCTCGACATACCAAATGGCTGCAAGCGGATATGAGCGGAATCACTATCGTCAAGCAATTCAAACGGGTATGCATTTGGAATGACCGCATGATGAGAAGAAATGAGAAGAAATAACTTTACTTAGGTTTTGACTACAGGGTAATGGTTTTCTTGATATGCGTCAAATATCACTAAACACAATACAGTGACTCTCACTAAAGGGAAACTGTGCATTGTGCATTCGTAACCGTATCCGCTGACGAGGGCCGGGCCTTGCATTCTCCGCCCCCTTGTTTCTTAATTGCTGACAGGCAGCGGATTCTCATCGTTCGCTAAACGCACTATCGGTAACTGCTGCGCTTCATTACCGTACCAATCCCACCGCTGCCGGCTTATTCATCACTGCGATAGCCTGGATCTTTACCATTCAATGTGACGCGCATGCAGTCATTGTTACCAAAGTTCAAACCCCGTGTTCCTTCACATTTAAGTAAACACTGACTCTCATATCTTCATTGCTTATCAGGTCGGATAAAAATGTGGATATCAAATATTACTCCAGAAGATTGTAGGGTAAGTGCTCTACTTCAACCACATACTATCCGTTGCAACGCGAAGAATAGTTGTATTCTACAGCCATCAATGATAGATCGTGCTCGCTTCTTGTTTATGTAATCAAAAACCAATTTCCTCAAAATGAAGACCTTACATATCCACACGTATAATGCTTGGACGTGCAATTTTACTTTGACATATTAGCAGGTGAAGCTTTTAGCATAGACATTCTGCAGCCACATTCGCATTAATTTGTTAGTTATGTAATTGCCTTTGAAGGCAGCGTCCAGGCAGAATCTCGACTTCTAATTTTTGCCTTATCCAGGCCTCATGGCGCTGATTCCAAATATGGCACTCAAAATGCGTGATTCCTCAAAGAACCCCATTTTTGAGACAACTTTGTGAGAACCGTGTACGAATGCTCCTAATGCTATCCTTGTCGAAAGTAAACATTAACAGGTAGACAATACGAGTTCGGTTGTGTTTGCCATTTTGTAAAAGCACGCCGAGGACTGAGAAGAGTCCGTTCAAAGGGGCGGGCCGTGCGAGAAAATGGGCGTGGTCCTCGAGGCTCGGCGTTTTCTGCGCCAATTTTCTCCTTTTATAGGGGTTTGAAAGTCGGATTTGCGTAATAATTCTAGATACCCCAGCACTCGATTATGATAGTAATCGAAAATGTCCAAATCTGCCCAGAAGCTGCCCTTAATGGGACGAAGGACCGCGAATGTCGCCTAAAATACCGCGATCATCTATAACCTCTTGTAACCTCTTATATGCTTTTGAACTCGCAAATATATTTCTCTTAGAAGGCAACGGAGTAGGCAGAATTTGCCAAAAAGGGGCCAACCCAAAACTCCTGAGCCTTGATTGATTATTTGAACAGAAATTAGCTGTTTGGCTACATGATTTGTTTAGCCGCGCACCACTGCAATGTCTACAGTGTGTGGAGAAACAAATTCAATTTTCGTGATCACATGCCAGATAAGATCCGTGCACTCTATATCTACTACCTGCTCAATTGGCTTTACGTACTAGACTCAACAAGCTCCATTTTCAAACTTGCTAAACGATATACTTGCTTTGAAAACGAAGGTAGATTTCCTCAAGCTCGTAACAAATTAGTATCCTTTCTTGACTACAAGGAAATCTCATGATATTACTGTAGTTGATTTAAATGCATAGCAGATGTTCTCACCAACACTTTAGGCGCTTTCACTCCATTATTACGCCAAAGCAAAGTGAAATAATTCAAATTTAGATAAGTCCTATGATGAGAAATACGAAAAAATCTTTTTAAAGTGTTTGGAAAATCTCCTTGAAACATTGTATATTGCCCTAGCATAAATGTCAGTTTGATTTTAATCAAAATCAAAAAAAACCTCACAATGGTCGGTAGCCTCATCGTGGCGTGGAGGTGACACTGAGTGTCGAACTGCATGCACAGCCGAGTGTATACTTTGCCCAAGCTGTGAAGGAGTTCGACGTTTCCGGTTTCGGCCGGATGCCTAGCTAAGAGCAGGCCAGGCCAGATCCACCGCCGTCTGGTTTTCAGATCGCTAGGCGGTACCCCGCTCCAAGCCGGGGGCCAGCTATCGCCCCGTGGAAATCAAGAGTTGGCCTAGTAAGCCACCTCTTGTAGGGGAAAATTCATATTACTCCTCCAGTTAGAAGATTGAAAAGAACCCCTGCACATCGTATCCCGCCTACGGCGCCGGGTGGTAGCAAGAACGATGTCAGGGTACTCAGGGCACTTTCGGATAGACAAAAACGACACGTCTGCCCGGACGACACGCCATGGAGACTGCCTCATGCTCTGCACCTACAACGCCAGGACAGTCTCCACAAACGCCGACCTCCACGCTCTTCTCGACGCTGCAGAGCACATCAACTACCACATCATCGCTCTGCAGGAAACGAAGTCCAGCAAGAAGGACGTGCGACAGATGAGTGATGATGGGAATCTCATCATTCGTGGTGAAAAGGTTCCATCACGAAACGTGAGAGGCGTCGGCTTTGTCGTCCACCCATCCATCGTCCATCTTGTCGATTCGCACGAGATCCTATAACCTCGACTAGGCATCCTACGACTACGCCCTTCACGTCAGAAGACCATCAGCATCATCAACTGCTACTCGCCAACATCAGCAGCTGACGACTCAGAACTAGATGCTTTCTACGGAGACGTGGAGGAGGTCGTCCGCAACGAAAAGTCCTTCTACAAGCATGTTGTGTGCGAAAATCGGGATGCCACTAGAAAGGGAATATAGGATCGGGAAGTTTGGATATGGGCTCCGAAACGAAAACGGCAACCGTCTCCTTGGGCTTCTCTCCGCCGCACGACTCTTCCATGGAAACTCCATCTTCATGAAGAAAGAACATCGCCGGTGGACTTGGGAATCGCCCAACGGAACGACTCATGGTGAGATCGACCACATTCTCACCAACCGAAAGTGGAGCTTACTCGATGCCTCTGTAGTTCCATCCTTCTGTAGTGGCTCCGATCACCGCCTGCTCCGAGCGAAGATACGCAGCCGAAGGCTGGAAAAGAAAGTCTGTCATAGTGCCGCGAGAAGGAAGGAAGTTGTTTATGACGGTAACAGGCTGGAAGAGCTCATATCAAGTTGTGACTAGCTCATCGAGGAGGACCCAACGTACGACTACGACCGGCTTCTGAAAGGATTGCGAGCCTGCGAAGAATGCGCCTCAGTGACTTCTGAGAAGAACTTGGAACGCATTTCGAAGGCCACCAAAAAATTTCTCGAAAGAAGAAGATTTCTGAGGCAGGATCCAAATGCAACCCATCTCGAGCACTGATAGCCAACGCCAGGTGCAGAACAGCTTTGCAAGAGGATCTCAGGAAGTAAAGGCAAGCCAAGATAATGGAAGCAGCCGAAGAAAGACGGAGTCTCAAGAAGTGCAGAAGGGACATCTGCGAATATCACGTACCACTGGCTGCACTACTGAACGAAGGCGGGACTCCGACTTCTTCGCGATACAAGATGGAATCTATCGCGAAGAACTTTTACACCAAACTCTTCCGCTCATCAACACCCGTGCAGATGCCCGGTGTTCCCACTGGAGAAGTACCATCAAGGATTCTACCTGCTGTAGTGCGTATCGCGATACAGACCATGAAGGCGTCCATGGCTCCAGGACCAGATCATCTTTCCGTCGAACTTCTGCGAGCCGGAAAACACCGTCTACACGAGGTTCTAGGGTCGCAGTCAACATTTTACCTTCAGAAATAGAAGATTCTCGACCGATAAAGAACGTAAGAAACCGTCCTTCTCTTCAAAAAAAGGCGAACAGGAGGATCTTCGAAACAATCGTCCACTATGCCTGCTAAGTGTGCTGTATAAGCTTTTTACGAAGATTATCCTCGCTCGCATATCAAGGACACTGGGTGAAGCCCAACCCCAAGAACAAGCTGGATTCCGCAAGGGATCTAGTTGCATAGATCACATCCAGACGGATTCAAGAGTCATAAAAGTCTGCCGGGAATACCGACTGCCTCTCGTCCTAACCCTCGTCGACTATGAGAATGCCTTTGACAGCGATGAAACCAACGCCATCCTGTCTGCCCTAGTCGATCAAGGAGTGGACCCAGCTTACGTGAGGACACCAGCCGACTGCTACAAGGACTGCACAACAACGACGCAGCTATTCCATCGCCCCCTGTTCATTCCAATTGGGAAAGGAGTTCGACAAAGCGACACTATTCTCCGAAGCTGTTCACCGCGACCTTGCAGTGGATGATGAAGTCACTGGACTGGGACGAGAGAGGCATACGAGTTGATGGGAGATTCCTGTCCAACCTTCGTTTTGCGGATGACATCGTTCTCTTCTCGAGCAGTATCACTGAAGCAGAGACGATGCTGAAGGAACTGAACGAAGTAGGGAAGAAGATCGGATTGCGAATAAATTGGAAGAAGATACATTCATGAGGAACGCCCTTTGCAAAGATGCAGAAATGGTATTGAAAAGCATTCCTATTATGGAGACATCTTCTCAGTGTATCTCGGACGTAGGATAAACATGGAGAACGACTTGAGGGAAGAATTTAACAGGAGAAGAAGAGCAGCCTGGGCCGCCTGCGGGCCTTTGAAGGAAGCTACTGACCAGCTGACGGATCCGGAGATCTTCGTGCTCACCTGTTTAACTCAACCGTTCTGCCGGCGCTCTGTCACGCAGCTGAGACTTGGGCTGACACCGTAGCCACGTCGAAAGCTTTACGGACCACCCACAGAGCGAACGAGTCTTCTGAAGATGGCCCGACACAAACAATATCTAGTCGGACTTCGCAGTGCAGATATGAAAAGAATGTCCCGTCTCCGTGACCCAGCGGAATACGTTGCGAAAGCGAAGCATCGATGGGCCGGTCACATCATGAGAAGAACAGACGACAGATAGGCACTAAGAACATCGGAGTGGATTCCTCGCAAAGCCAAACGCCGGCGAGGAAGACCACCGACGAGATGAGCAGGCGTGTTCGTAAAACGGATAGACCAGCTGAAAAATCAGCTGGATACGATTTTTGCAC